TCCCTACTCTTCCTTTTGAGCACTGCAGGATGTACAGTCTTTCATTTCCAATCTCCCCAGTTACACACCCAGTCTCTCATGTGGGATAGAGTGGGGAGGAAACGGACAAAGCCTAGATCAGAATTTTTCCCATGGAAACTGGTTCCCTGTTTGGCTTAATTTGACCTATTTTCTAGCTTTTCCTGGTTAGTCCCCTTGTTCTGTGCATCAAGCCTTCCCACTGGACTAATTTTTGTTGTCCTGCTTGCTCCCCCTTCCTCCAACATGATCTCCTGGGGTTCTTCCCATGCAGGGCAAATGTTCCCAGCGCTGAGAGAGGAAACTCCATTTTGAAAATAGTTTATGTCAGCTTTAAAAGTATGAAGCTCATACAGGGAGAACTACTTCCAGTATTATTGGGGCAAAGGGAGGTGGTGAAGGAGACAAAAAGCACAACACTCTGAGAGGCCATGTTCACGCTATCCAGCCCCAAATTAAAGAACTCTTGGTTCTCGGTATCTGAGGATCTTGGAGAGCTCTGCCAACACCATGAAGAACCCTAGGGGAAATGGAGGTGGAGTAGAGGTAACCAGCTTTGCAGCTAGGGATTAACACTTTACCCAACTCTACCCCCCAGCCCCCACCCCACCCCCATACACTACACACACGAAAGTTTTTTTTGATGACATCTCTTCTCTTGAATTTGCATCATTTTTTAATTGTGTGATCTTTAATGTTATTAACCAGGGAGCTATGAGGATACGAAATCATTTTAAGTAGCGGCACCCACGTTCGCCTATTGTACTCTCGCCCTCAATCCACTTTCCTCTCCTCCCTAGGCTGCTGTTCCACATTCACCCTGAAGGGGGCGCTTTTGTTCACTTGTCAGTTAGTGCCAGCGAAAAGGGAGTCCTAGGAAGGAAACAAAACAATGTTTGGTCGGTCACGTGTTGGGGGGTGGGTTTCTCGCAGGGGTTGCTGGGACAGGGAAGGGAGGTCCACGTGGAGTGGGCGGAGCCCACTGAAAGTTTTGGCGGGGCTGGCAAAGTGAGAGAAAGTCGGTGTTGTGATTTTATTTATAAAAAAAAAGCAACAGGGAGGGTGTGTTCTGCCCTCCGAGAGGCCCAGCAGAAGGGAGTCGGGGAGCCACACACGAGCATCCTGCTTGTAGATGCCTGGAACGCGGGGCAGGGTATCTGCGAGAAAGTTCTGAGCCGAGGCGAGCTTCGGAGCTGGAAACCTGTGTGGCTCCATGCTGGTTTCCCATCCCCCTTTCTCCTGAAGGAAGGTGCCTTCTCCACCCATGGTCTCATTTCCGTGCCATGTGGGGCTGGGCTAATGCCAGCCACGCATTAAACCCCAGTCTTTATTTACCTTTCCAAGAATCTCAGGAAGCCACCCAAATGAATATACTCTCCCTGGGGAAAAGCCAAAACAAGCCTCCTCGTTTTACTGCCTGGTTCTGCCCCACTGTTAGCAGAAAAACACAGCTTCCTAGTATTTGAGCCGGAAGGAGCCTTAAAGATGATCTATTTCAGTTTCTTTTGGTGCTGGGGAAACCAAGGCCCAGACAGGTAAAGGGGCTTGCTACAAGCTCTTTGCACACCATAGGCATTCCCTTCAAAGGATGTAGGTCATAGAAAGGGAATTCCACCATTCCAAGAGCCCTAGAGGAACCGTGAAAGTGTTGGCTTTACCTCCATTCACTCTTAGCCAGAGGGCAAAAGAAATGATTGTCTCATTAGAGATAAAATCAGAGAATTGTATAGGGACTTGATTTATGGATCTCATGGGTTTCCTAGGCTCCCTCACAGCTAGCAGCTCCACTTTCTCCCTCTTGGCCTTCACTCTTTGCTGCTATCTGGTGTCCTTATGTGTCTTAGTTCAGGGGTTACCACAATTTAAAACCTAATAGTTTGGGAGCAATAATTCTCGCCCCTTCTTAGAAGAGCTTCTCTTACCAGGTTTGTTTTCTGGTGGTTTATCCACCTCATTCTGTGAATCGAGTTCAAGAATATCAGACTTCCAATCCCCAAATTCCAGCCCTTTGTCTTTGGGAGAGAAAAGCATGTTTACTTAGTCTGGAACAGTGAAATCCTACACTTTGGATTTCAGAGCTGTGAAATTTCCAGGGGAAAAAAAAATGTGTAGGACATGTAAAATTGTCATCTTTTTATTTTGCCGAGTAAGGACATTAAAAAACTACCACCACCGATTGCTATTTACTATCTCCATCATTTCACAAAAGCAGAGTATTTTAACACAAAAAATAGGAAGCATGTAATTGGCAGAATAATAGCTCTAGGCCACCCTGCCTTGACTTAACATGGGTACTGTTTAGAGTTATGTGCGCCCCACCCCCCCGCCATTTTGTTGAAGATTGGCTCCAGTTTTGTCCATTGGTCTCTAGACCAGTGGTAGGCAAACTACAGCCCAATGCTGTTTTTATATGTGCCACAAGCTAAAATAAGCTCAGAATTTTTAAATAGTTGAAAAATCTAAATATTTCATGACAAATAAAAATGTGAAATTCAAATTTGTGTCCCTAAATACAATTTTATAAAATGTTGGAACTGTGATTGCTGCTTGGTCTCATACCAGAGCTTCTTTCATTGTCTATATTGCTGCTATCCCACTAGGACCTTAGATTAACCAACCACTCATTATCAGCCACACTATTTACATGTCTTTTTTGCTACAATAGCAAAGTTGAATAGTACAAGAGACCCCAGGGCTGTCAAAGCCTAAAATATTTACTATCTAGCCTTTAAAGAATAGGTTGGCCAACCCCTGATATAGACTCCAAGGTTTTCAAACTTGGGGTGCATCAGAATCACCTGGAGGGCTTGTTAAAACAAGACTAACACACCTCAGAGTTTCTGATTCATTAGGTTTAGAGGGGAGTCCGAGAATTTGTATTCCTAACGAGTTCCCAGGTGATGCTGATGATGCCAATCTAGGCCCACATTTGGTCTGGTGAGGAAGAAAACATAGGCTATTTGTTTATGGAATTGCCATCTGTCTGGCCTTAGAAATCGAGACCACAAAGTCCTCCTTCTCCCTCACCCCCTCTCCATTCTATTGATCAAACCCTGCAAATTATAATAATGTGATAACTACATTCTTAAGCATTACCAAGTGCCACATGCTACGATAAACATTTTACATGGATTATCCCATTTAATCCTTATAATAACCCTGTGTGGTAACGTACTATTATAGTTAATTTGCTGATGAGGAAACTGAGGTAGAGGTTAAATAACACAGCCAATAAATGGTAGAACTGTGATTACTGCTGGCAACCTCATACCAGAGCCTGTGCTTTTAACCACTGGGCTTCCTGTCCTTCCCTCTAGATCCCCATACCACTCATGTTACATTAACCACTCATCACTTCGCACCTGGATTAACAGCCTTTAAGTTGGCTTCTTGCATTCAGTGCAGATACAAATATTGAGGTTAGCTTTCAACAACACAAATGTGATCATTCCACACTTTGCTAGATATTCTTTGATGGTTCACCTTTTGCTGATAAATTATCCATTCCTTAACTGGGCCTTCAGACTTTCATAATCTGGTCTCAACACACCTCACCCGTTTTTCCTCTTATACTCCCCACCATCCAAGGTAAATGCCAGCCAGCTTCTCCCATTTACTCCAACACATCCTTTTATCCCATGCTTCACAATGTTCTCATCTGTCTGAAATGTCTTCCTACTGTCTCAACCTTTAAGACTCACCTCAGTGGTCATTTCTTCAATTCCTTCCAGGTATATTCTTTCTTTTCTGACCTAGACAACTTTATTCCTCCCTAGGTTTCACTAGTTTTTTAAATATTGTTAATGTTATATGACTGTCACTCTCTTTACATAAGGTAAAGGTCAAGGGTAGATGATTTCTCTTAATACAGCTAAACAGCTCATTTATTCATTCATTGAATATTAAGTGCCTACTTTGTGCCAGGTATAGTTTTAGTTGCTGAGGATACAGGAGTGAACAAAAATGAAGCTTACATTCTAATGAGAGAGGACAATAAACAAGGTAAATTACATGTCAGATGGTATTAAGTACTATGAATTAAAGCAGAAAAGGGGAAGAGGAATTTTGGAGTTTACAGAGGGTGGCCAGAGGTCTGATGAAAAGATGTCATTTAGAAAAGAGAACTGAATTGAGAGAGGAAGGCATATGGATATCTGAAAGAGTGATCCAGGTAAAGGGAAAAGCAAGTGAAAAGACCTGAGCAGACACGCACCATGTGTGTTTGAAAAACAGCTAAGAGGTGATTGTGGAAGGAGGGGAGTGAAGAAGGGGAGAGCAATAGGAGTGGAAGTCAGAGAGCAAGCAGTACCAGATTCTATAGGCCATAATGATGATAATTTTGTTTTTACTTCAAGTAACATGGGATGCCATGAGAGCGTTCTGAGTAAAGAACATGATCTCATATCTTATCAGGATCACTATGGCTGTTGTGCTGAGAACAGACTTAAGTTGGAAATGGCAAATGTTGAAACTGAGAGACTAATTACAAGGTTACTGCAATAAAGTGAGATACAATTATGGCTTAGAACAACAGTCCTCAACCTTTTTGGCACCAGCGACCAATGCTCCTATGAGAATCTAATGCCTGATGATCTGAAGTGGTGATACGAGTACTGGGGAGCGGCTGCAAATACAGATGAAGCTTCACTCGCTAGCTGACTGCTCACCTCCTGCTGTGTGGCTCAGTTCCTAACAGGCTACAGACCTGTACCAGTCCACTGCCTGGGAATTGGGGACCACTGGCTTAGAGCAAGGTGGAAATTGTGGAGGTGTTGCAAAAGTGTATGATTCTGGATATATATTTTAAAGGCCAATGATTGGATATAAGGTGAGAGAGATAAGGGCTGAAGAAAAAGGATTTGGGTGGGAGAAATTTGGCATTGTGATTTTAGATGCTTACTGGACATCCAAGTGGATATGTCTCCTAGGCAGTTGGATATGCAATTTTGGACTTAGAGAATGAGTCCAGGAAGAAGATATAGATTTGGGAGTTGTCAGTGTAGAGATGGTATTGAAAGTCTTGACACTAGAAGACATCACCATATTCTAAATGCCCTCCAGCCACATCCCCTTCATTGGTATCCCTAATCCCAATACCTCTCTTGCAGATCTGAGGCCACAGAGTCTGGTGGAAGAGTACTGGGGCACTCTTGGCTTAACATATTCACACACATTTGTTTAAAATTTCCAGTGCTTCATGCTTTGGACCCACATGGCAGAGACACAGTTTTAGAGGTTTTCACATTAGGCCAAGAGTATTAGTCATCTCCATGTCCGTATGGATTGAAAAAATATATATATACTTCAACAGAAAAGAAAAACAATCAAAACTAAAAGTTTTTTCACAAGGAATTCTGTGAGGACTTGTTGGCTGGAAATTAACACCCACACACAAAATAAACATTGAGAGGAAGAAGTGCTCAGCATAGGAGACTACCCTAAAATATTCCTATTCCTGTAAGGTAAAAATTCCTTCCGAGACTTCCTTTGCAGTAGATGCTAGAAATGATTTAAGGCGGCCAGGGAGATGGCCGTTAGGAAAGAACTGTTCTTGGTAATTGGCAATACTTCATTCCAGGGAGGTTGTGGCAACAACTCCCTCGGCAGTAGACATGGATTTTCCTCCCTCTGGGAACCAGAGGTTCGTCCGTTTCTGGTCTGGATCCCTTAGAGACAAAGGACTTCATTCTCTCCTGTTCCAGTGTGGGGCTGCTGGGGAGTGGAGGGGGTGGAAGGGTTACAATTTTACCCCCAGGAAACACCCACGGGCTCCAACAAGAGTCTGAATCCTGACTCCCGTCCAGGAGGCATGCGGGTCTGCGGGGGCCGCGGGCCCCTCCCGCAAGGCCAGGCCGGTTGTCAAGGCGCCTGGGGAAGGGGCCGCCCAGCTTAGGCCGGGTACGTGGGGCGTTCAGCATACGTCCACAAAGGGCTTCCCTGCCTCCCAAAGTCCCCTTCCTTCTTCTCAACTCCATTCTCGCGCTCCTTTTTCCCGGGGAGCCTCCGCATTCCCCAACCACCCATCGCCGCCCTCGCCCTTTCTTCCCTCCCAACCTCCCCCAGCTCCCCCCTCCTCCGGCAGCCCACCTTCACCCAGCTCTTCTGCCGGCTCCTGGGTCCTCGCCCCTGATCCCTGGCCTCCCCTCGCCGGCCCCACGCGGCCTGGGCCCCCGCGCTCTC